CCCATGGTTCCTTTTGAGAATATGCATAGAATCACTTTTTAAGTCGATTTATGCATGTCCGTCCGTCCGTCTGTCTGTCTGTCTGTCCATGTATTTTTGTGAGCAAAGTACAGGTCGCATTTATGATCCGAATTGGATGAAATTTGGCATAGGTCACTTATTATTTAACCGATTTAATGTAAACGGTCCCTATATATCATTCGATTTGCACGAAATTTGGTACAGCCTAATCATTTAGGTCTAAAATGATGTGCGTAAAATTTCATAAAAATCGGTCCAGATTTAGATATAGCTCCCATATATAGTTTCGTCCGATTTCATGTAAATGGTGCCCCAAAGTCCTAATATATCTTTCAATTTGCACGAAATTTGGCATAACGTACTGAATTGAGCCTAGAATGATGTGTGCCAAGTTTCGAGAAAATCGGTCCAGATATAGATATAGCTCCCATATATATAGTTTCGACCGATTTCATGTAAATTGTGCACCAAAGTCCCTATATATCTTTCGATTTGCACGAAATTTGGTACAATGTACTGAATTGGGCCTAGAGTGATGTCTGCCAAGTTTCGAGAAAATCGGTCCAGATTTAGATATAGCTCCCATATATAGTTCCGTCCGATTTCATGTAAATTGTGCACCAAAGTCCCTATGTATATTTCGATTTGCACGAAATTTGGTATAACGTACTGAATTGGGCCTAGAGTGATGTCTGCCAAGTTTCGATAAAATCGGTCAAGATTTAGATATAGCTCCCATATATAGTTTCGTCCGATTTCATGTAAATGGTGCACCAATGTCCCTATATATCTTTCGATTTGCACGAAATTTGGCATAACGTGCTGAATTGAGCATAAAATTATGTCTGGTATGTTTCGTGAAAATCGGTCCAGATTTAGATATAGCTCCCATATATAGTTTCGTCCGATTTTATGTAAAATGTGCACCAAAGTCCATATATATCTTTCGATTTGCACGAAATTTGGCATAACGTACTGAATTGAGCCTAGAGTGAGTTCTGCCAAGTTTTGTGAAAATCGGTCCAGATTAAGATATAGCTCCCATATATAGTTTCGTCCGATTTCATGTAAATTGTGCACCAAATCTCTATATATCTTTCGATTTGCACGAAATTTGACATAACGTACTGAATTGAGCCTAGAATGATATCTGCCAAGTTTCGAGAATATCGGTCCAGATTTAGATATAGCTCCCATATATAGTTTCGTCCGATTTCTTGTAAATGGTGCACCAAAGTCCCTATATATCTTTCGATTTGCACTAAATTTGGCATTACGTACTGAATTGAGCCTAGAATTATGTCTGCCAAGTTTCGAGGAAATCGGTATAGATTTATATATAGTTCCCTTATATTATAGATTGATTTTAAGTAATTGACGCACCAAGGAGCCAATATATGGCTGATAACCTGTACCAAGTTTCGTTGAAATAGGTTCATTTTAGCATCCATATATAAGTAAATTATACATCAAACTCCTCATATTTGTTAGATTGACATCAAATTTTGCACAACGTACAAAATTGAGCATAGAATAACGTAGTTGGGTTTTCTAGAAGTACAGACATAGCCCAATGGATTAACTATTGATATTTTTTTGAAGTCGATTTACATACTTTTGTCCCGTTGTAAGAAACGAATGACATGTTTATGGATAGATCTAGGTCGTTTCACATTTAGATAAATATCACATATTTTATTTCATACAATTTCATGATAATAGTCCTGTTTAATATACCCATAGTGGTGAAGGGTATCATATAGTCGGCCCCGCCCGACTTTACTACTTTCCTTACTGATTTTAAATATTTCACCCCTCAAAGGATATATACGTGGTTTTTTAACGATTTTTGCTGACCTCTGGGGCAACAATAGGAAGGGATTTTTTAGAGATTTTTGGTTTTAGATTTTTTAAAGAATTGTTGGTCACCTCTAAGGCAATAATAGGCGTGGTTTTTAAATGGTCCTAAAGAGGCGATTATACCAGAATTTTTGTTAAAGATGTGTTAAAATTGACCTGAAAAGCCAAATAGGCGTAGATTTTTTTAATAATTTTTGATCACCTCTAAGGCAACAATGGGCGTGGATTTTTAAATGGTCCTGAAGAGGCGAGTAGATCTGGATTTTTAAAATGTATTAAAATTGCCCTGAAAAGCCAAAAAGGGGTAGATTTTTAATATGTTTTGTGACCCCTTACAGGACAATGGGCGGGATATTTAAAAAAATTGTTGGTGACCCCTTATAGGACAATGGGTGTAAATATTTTAACATTTCTTTTTTATGACCTTAAAGGCAACTCTAGTGTAAGGATTTGTAAAGGGTTTTTTGATGAACTCTAAGACGTGTATTTTTTTAAGATTTTTGGTGACCTTTACGGCAACAGTAGGAGTGGATTTTAGTAACCTCTAGGATAATGGTCGTGGAGTAAAAAAATTTGGTGACCTGGATTTTTAGAAAGTGTTAAAATTGCCCTGAAAAGCCGAATAGGCGTAGATATTTTAATATGTTTTGAGACCCCATATGGGACAATGAGCGGGATACCTCACTGATTTTTTGGTGACCACTTACAGGACAAAGGGCGTGGATTTTTAAAGATTTTTGGTGACCTTGAAGGCAATATGAAGCGTTGATTTCTTAAAGATTTTGAAATGGCCCTCAAAAGGCAAATAGGCGTGGGTGTTTAGTCATTTCCCTAATGGACAATAGGTGTACATTTTTTAAGGATTTTTCATGGGACACTTAAAGGATAAACATCTTAATTTTTTTCAGTGATCCTTCACAGGATTTTTTAGAGATTTTATGTAGTCCCTATAAATGCTAAAGGCGATGATTTTTTTTTTAATCCATTTCATTTTAACATTATTACATTCCCTCCATTTAAATTTCATTTTCCAAATTTCCTTTTCTCGCTCGCTTAATTAACATATTTTACTCATGGCTTTTAAGGCTTTTCACCCATCTTTTATGCGATTTATTGTTTTTGCCCTCAGGTACCTTACCCTTGCCGCTCCATTCCCTGTGTACACGTAAACTAATTACATTTTGCAAGGATTTATACGTCTATACTTTATATGTCTATACTTGTATATATGGCCGTGTGTGTATATGTGTGTGTTTGTTGTTATTGCAATATTTTGCTATTTATTGCTATTCTTCAGTAACGCCTCTTGGGCGTACTGAACCTCATTAACGTTATGCATGGGCGTTATTTTGTGTGGAAGTTTGGGCGTTGTTGTTGTGTAGCTACTGAAAAATTAAAATGTAATTAAATTTGGAATTTAGGAACTTCTCTGCCTTTAAAAAATCACGCCCATTGGCCTCTTCGGGGACATTAATTTTTTTAAACCATGCCTATTGCCCTTAAAATAGACCTTGGAAAATCTTAAAAAAATCCACGCCTATTTGCCTCCATGGGAGCATTTAAAAATCTGTAAAAAAAACCAAGGCTAGTAGTCTTTTCGGGGACCTATGAAAATCTGTAAAAAAATCCAAGCCTAGTGGTCTCTTCGGGGTCATTTAAAAATCTTTAAAAAATCCACGCCTATTGTCCTTTAAGGGGTCATTTTAAAATCTTTAAAAAAAATCCACGCCTAGCGGTCTATTCGGGGTCATTTTAAAATCTTTAAAAAAATCCACGCCTAGCGGTCTATTCGGGGTCATTTTAAAATCTTTAAAAAAAATCCACGCCTAGCGGTCTATTCGGGGTCATTTAAAAATCTTTAAAAAAATCCACGCCTATTGTCCTTTAAGGGGTCATTTAAAAATCTTTAAAAAATCCACGCCTATTGGCCTCTTCGGGGTCATTTAAAAATCTTTAAAAAATCCACGCCTATTGGCCTCTTCGGGGTCATTTAAAAATCTTTAAAAAATCCACGCCTATTGGCCTCTTCGGGGTCATTTAAAAATCTTTAAAAAATCCACGCCTATTGGCCTCTTCGGGGTCATTTAAAAATCTTTAAAAAATCCACGCCTATTGGCCTCTTCGGGGTCATTTAAAAATCTTTAAAAAATCCACGCCTATTGGCCTCTTCGGGGTCATTTAAAAATCTTTAAAAAATCCACGCCTATTGGCCTCTTCGGGGTCATTTAAAAATCTTTAAAAAATCCACGCCTATTGGCCTCTTCGGGGTCATTTAAAAATCTTTAAAAAATCCACGCCTATTGGCCTCTTCGGGGTCATTTAAAAATCTTTAAAAAATCCACGCCTATTGGCCTCTTCGGGGTCATTTAAAAATCTTTAAAAAATCCACGCCTATTGGCCTCTTCGGGGTCATTTAAAAATCTTTAAAAAATCCACGCATATTGGCCTCTTCGGGGTCATTTAAAAATCTTTAAAAAATCCACGCCTGTTGGCCTCTTCGGGGTCATTTAAAAATCTTTAAAAAATCCACGCCTATTGGCCTCTTCGGGGTCATTTAAAAACCTTTAAAAAATCTACGCCTTTTGGCCTCTTTGGGGTCACTTAAAAATCTTTAAAAAATCCACGCCTATTGGCCTTTAGGGGGTCATTTAAAAATCTTTAAAAAATCCACGCCTATTGGCATTTAAGGGGTCATATAAAAATCTTTAAAAAATCCACTCCTATGTCCTTTAAGGGGTCATTTAAAAATTTTTAAAAAATCCACGCTTATTGTCCTTTAAGAGGCCATTTAAAAATCTGTAAAAAATCCACGCCTATTGACCTCTTCGGGGACATTTAAAAATCTTTAAAAAATCCACGCCTATTGGCCTCTTCGGGGACATTTCAAAATGTTAAAAAAAATTGTATTTTCAGACCACATTTATTTTTTTCTTTATCCTTGTTTGGTTTGATGACAATGTCCTTGATGCTGAGACTGATGATAAATGTCAAATAGTGTCGCCAAACATAATTCCATGATAAACCATAATAATAAATTATTGTTTTTTTTTTTAAATATGGTAAATATAAATAATCGATATATGAATGTGTAAAAATTAAATATAAAAAAAAATAATTACATATATGAATAATAATAACCTTGTGCAAATTATACATGCATTGAGCAATTCCGCTATCGGGTATATTATTATTATCCAGCCAATCCTGTAAAAAAATATAAATAAATGGATGACGATTATATATGAATAAGTGTGTGTGTGTTAAATTAAATATGAAGAAATTTATAATTTAAAAAATACATATATTTTTAATAAAATTAAGGAAAATATTTAGAAAAATTTAAAAACTTTCAGAAAAAATTGCAATAAAAATTTAATAATAAAAAATTGCAAAAATATTTAAAGACCCAAATAGAAAAAAAATGCCAGGGAAATAAAACACTCACACATAAAGGAAATATTTAAATTGTATACAATAATAAAAAAATAGTAATACAAAAACATAACAACAACAACAACGGTGTCAACATGAAGTGTAGGAAAACTAAGTTGAAAAAAATGAGGGAGAAAACAACAACAACTAGGAAAAACACTTCAGAAGTAAAACAAATGCAAATGATTTGACAAAGTGCAAAAATATGCAGAAAAAATGGACGAAGAGGAAGTAGGGGAAAAAGAAGTAAAAAAACACGATGAAAAAATGGTTTCATGATGCACAATGAAGTGAGTGAGGTTATGGTAGTGGTGTTGGTGGTGAGGTGGTGAGGTGTTGATGGTGGTGACTCGGGTAATATAATGCCTTTAATTTGTATAGAGAATATTTAATTAAAGAAAAAAAGTTTCAAATTTTTCAACATCGAAAGTTTTGTGGACATTAAAAAATTGTGTTTAATAGCTTCAAGAATCTGTAGGTAAAAGACCGGAAAAGTGGAAAAATGTTTTTTAAATGCCAATAAAAAAATGTTTAAGGGGTAAGAAATCATCTTTAAAAAATCCACGCATTTTGTCCTTTATAAAGCCATTTAAAAATCTTTAAACAATCCGCACCAATTGTTCTTTAAGGGGGCAGTTAAAAATCTTTAAAAAGTCCACGCCTATTGTCCTTTAAGGGGGCAGTTAAAAATCTTTAAAAAGTCCACGCCTATTGTCCTTTAAGGGGCCATTTAAAAATCTTTAAAAAATCCACGCCTATTGTCCTTTAAGGGGCCATTTAAAAATCATTAAAAAATTCACGCCTATTGTCCTTTAAGGGGCCAGCTAAAAATCTTTAAAAAATCCATGCCTATTGTCCTTCAAGGGGTCATTTAAAAATCTTTAAAAAAATCCACGCCTATTGTCCTTTAAGGGGTCATTTAAAAATCTTTAAAAAATCCACGCCTATTGTCCTTTAAGGGGTAATTTTAAAATCTTTAAAAAATCCACGCCTATTGTCCTTTAAGGGGTAATTTTAAAATCTTTAAAAAATCCACGCCTATTGTCCTTTAAGGGGTCATTTAAAAATCTTTAAAAACTCCACGCCTATTGTCCTTTAAGGGGTCATTTAAAAATCTTTAAAAACTCCACGCCTATTATCCTTTAAGGGGCCAGCTAAAAATCTTTAAAAAATCCACACATATTGTCCACCACTATTGTCCTTTAAGGGGTCATTTAAAAATTTTTAAAAAATCCATGCCTATTGTCTTTAAGGGGTCATTTAAAAATCTTTAAAAAATCCACGCCTATTGTCCTTTAAGGAGGCAGCTAAAAAATCGTCCTTATTGAAATCCACGCCTTATGTCCTTTAAGGAGGCAGCTAAAAAATCGTCCTTATTGAAATCCACGCCTTATCTCCTTTAAGGAGGCAGCTAAAAAATCGTCCTTATTGAAATCCACGCCTTATGTCCTTTAAGGAGGCAGCTAAAAAATCGTCCTTATTGAAATCCACGCCTTATGTCCTTTAAGAAGGCAGCTAAAAAATCGTCCTTATTAAAATCCACGCCTATTGTCCTTTACTGGTCCTTATTAAAATCCACGCCTATTGTCCTTTACTGGTCCTTATTAAAATCCACGCCTATTGTCCTTTACTGGTCCTTATTAAAATCCACGCCTATTGTCCTTTACTGGTCCTTATTAAAATCCACGCCTATTGTCCTTTACTGGTCCTTATTAAAATCCACGCCTATTGTCCTTTACTGGTCCTTATTAAAATCCACGCCTATTGTCCTTTACTGGTCCTTATTAAAATCCACGCCTATTGTCCTTTACTGGTCCTTATTAAAATCCACGCCTATTGTCCTTTACTGGTCTTTATTAAAATCCACGCCTATTGTCCTTTACTGGTCCTTATTAAAATCCACGCCTATTGTCCTTTACTGGTCCTTATTAAAATCCACGCCTATTGTCCTTTACTGGTCCTTATTAAAATCCACGCCTATTGTCCTTTACTGGTCCTTATTAAAATCCACGCCTATTGTCCTTTACTGGTCCTTATTAAAATCCACGCCTATTGTCCTTTACTGGTCCTTATAAAAATCCACGCCTATTGTTCTTTACTGGTCCTTATAAAAATCCACGCCTGTTGTTCTTTACTGGTCCTTATAAAAATCCACGCCTATTGTTCTTTACTGGTCCTTATAAAAATCCACGCCTATTATCCTTTACCGATCCTTTTAAAAAACCACGCCTATTGTCCTTTACTGGTCCTTATAAAAATCCACGCCTATTATCCTTTACCGATCCTTTTAAAAAACCACGCCTATTGTCCTTTACTGGTCCTTATGAAAAACCACGCCTATTGTCATTTACTAGTCCTTATAAAAAAACCATGCCTATTGTCCTTTACTAGTCCCTATAAAAATCCACGCCTATTATCCGTTACGGGTCCTTATAAAAAACCACGCCTATTGTCCTTTACCGGTCCTTATAGAAATCCACGCCTATTGTCCTTTACCGGTCCTTATAGAAATCTACGCCTATTGTCCTTTACTGGTCCTTATAGAAATCCACGCCTATTGTCCTTTACTGGTCCTTATTAAAATCTACGCCTTGTGATCCATTCAAAATCATTATAAAACCCTACCACATTTATTGTTTAGCAATTTTTCCGAACTTCGAACTTCTCTAGCCAATTTAATGTCAAGTCCTTTCAAAATTTCAATGCAATTTTTTCTACCTCTCCACATTATGAACCGAATTTGTTTGCTATTGTTTAGTGAGTATAGTTTTATTTACCAGAGCCACTCTCATTGTTTTTTTTTTATTTTAGTTGTTGTTTTTGTTTTATAAAAAATCGGGTCCACTTCATATTTTTTTGTGTGTTAAGTAAATTTTTTCTCGTTTATTTTCGTTGTGTTAAAACAAAGAAACACTTCATGCAACACCTTTAGCACGCGGCGCCTGCAAATCTCAGTTTTTTATTTGTTTGTTTTGGAGGTGGGGGCAGGTAGTGTTGAATTTTTTTTTCATTGTGGGTCATTGTTTTGCCATGTGGAAGGGGAGAGGCATAGACGAAGTGAAGTGATGTATGAAAAAGTCGAGTAAAATGGCAATGGTGTCAAAAGGTGTTTTTTGGATGCAGGTCTCTTTTTTAAATTCGTCCAAAATCTAATACAGAACAATATTTAATATTTTCTTAAAATTTTCTATTTTTTTAATTTACGTGATTATTGAGCTAAGATCAAATAGGCTTATATAGGAAGATATTCACGCCACGTAATATTACAACACACTCACATACATACATACCATCTAGACCAAATAGAAAATAGTTAAAAAAGTACAGGAGATAATGATAACAACAGTAGTGGCAACCTTTAAAAAATCCACGCCTATTGTTCATTATATATCATTTAAAAATCCTTTAAAAAATGCACGCCTATTGTCCTTGTCCTTGTAAAAATCTTTTAAAAATGCACGCCTATTGTCCTTGTCCTTGTAAAAATCCTTTAAAAATCCACGCCTATTGTACTTGTAAATATCCTTTAAAAAATCCACGCCTATTGTCCTTGTAAAAATCCTTTAAAAATCCACGCCTATTGTCCTTGTAAATATCCTTTAAAAATCCATTAAAAAATCTACGCCTATGGTCCTTGTAAATATCCTTTAAAAATCCTTTAAAAATCTATTACAAATTCCACGCCTATTGTCCTTGTAAATATCCTTTAAAAATCCATTAAAAAATCTACGCCTATGGTCCTTGTAAATATCCTTTAAAAATCCTTTAAAAAATCCACGCCTATTGTCCTTGTCAATATCCTTTAAAATTTCTTTACAAAATCCACGCATATTGTCCTTGTAAATATCCTTTAAAAAATCCTCGCCTATTGTCCTTATAAATATCCTTTAAAATTTCTTTACAAAATCCACGCATATTGTCCTTGTAAATATCCTTTAAAAATCCTTTAAAAAATCCACGCCTATTGTCCTTGTAAATGTCCTTTAAAATCCGTTAAAAAATCCTCGCCTATTGTCCTTGTAAATATCCTTTAAAAAATCCATTAAAAAATCCACACCTATTGTCCTTGTAAATATCCTTTAAAATTTCTTTACAAAATCCACGCCTTGGGTAGATGATCCTCTAAAAAATATTTCTTTACAAAATCCACGCCTATTGTCATAATTGGTCCTTATAAAAATCCTTTAAAAAATGCACGACTGTTTTTTTTTTTTTTTTTTGAGGGTGGCCTTAGAAAAATCTTAAAAAAAAATCCATTATATTGGTCTCAGGAAGATCTTTAAAAAATCCTTAAAAATCTACACCTATTATCCTAATATAGACCCTCTGTAGAATTCTCTTGGAATCCACCTCTTCAAAGGAAATATTTGAATGGGTCATGTGGCGTATATGTACTGACACCACTTACACGGCCTGCGGTCCTTCGGAAAATCATTTAAATCTTCTTCTATTGGTCCTACAGGACCCTTTAAAATTAATACAAAAATCCCATTTTTTTGGTCTCAATTCACGCCAATTGGTATTTTTTAAAAATCGTAGAAATCGACATCTATTCTCAGAATAAGAACCCTCACTAAAATCTTTAAAACCCCCTTTGTATTCTACGTTTAAAGGAAAATATGTTAATGGTACATGTGGCGTATGAGTGCTGACATCACTTGTTCGCCCTGCTGTACTTCGGAAATTAATTTCAAGCGCGTCTTTTAAGAATCAAAAAAAATTCTAGTCTATTAGGCTCATTAAGTCCTTAAATAAAATCCAAGTATTTTGGATTTACTATGACCTTTAAAAATCCACGCCTCTTGGTCTTACAGAGTCCTTTAAAAATCATTAAAAAAAATCCAAGTTAATTGGTCTCATGAAGTCCTTTAAAGATCCTTAGAAATCCACACCTATTACCAGAATAACAATCCCCTTAGAATTCCCCGTTTAAAAGAAAATATTCTAATTGTGCATGTGTGTATGAGTACTGACACCATGTATACGCCCTGCTATCCTTTGGAAATTTATTTCAAACTTCGTATACTGGTCTCACAGAGTTCTCTAAAAATCCAAAAATCGAGTTTATTGGTCTTATTAATTCATTAAAATATCCACATATTTTCTTGATGGGGTCCTCTTAAAATTCCAGTTCGTGACACTAAAATTCACGAAGTCCTTTAAAAAATCCACGCCTATTGGTCTCACTAAGTACTCTAAAATGTTATTTAAAAATCCACACCTTTTGGTCTTACGAAATCCTTTAAACATCCCTAAAAATCTGTGTCTATGTTACGAATATAGATCCTCAAAAAATCTCTAAAAATACCCTTAGAAACCCATTTAAAGGGAATTTTTTTTCATGGTCCCTGTGACGTATAAGTACTGACAACATTTATACGCCCTGCTGTCCTTCGGAAATGAATATCAACATTCGTATTTTGGTCTCACAAATCCTTAAAAAATCCATTAAAATCCTTAAAAATCCACGCCTATTGGCTTTACTAAGTCCATTAAACATTCCCACATAAAACCATCCCTATTGGCCCAGCATGTCCTTTTAAAATTATATAAAAATACTCTCCTTTTGTCTTACGAAGTCCTTTAAAATTTTTTTAAAAATCCAAGCCTACTGTCCAAATATAGAAACTCAAAAATCTTCAAAAATTCCCTTAGAACCATCCCTTTAAAGGGAAATAATTTCATGGTCCATGTGACGTATACGTACTGACATCACTTATACGCCCTGCTGTTCTTTGAGAATTAATTTCAATCATCGTCTATTGGACTTAATGTATCCTTTAAACATCCATTTAATTCAAACATTTTAGTTTCACGAAGTACTTTAAATTAAAAATACTTAAAACTTCACACCTATTGTCTGAATAGGGACCCTCCCATAAAAATCCCATTATAATTTCGTCTTTAAATACCACTTATACGCCCTACTGTGCTTCGGAAATTAATTTCAGTTGGTCTCACAGATACCTTTAAAAACACAAGCCCATTGATCTCACTAAGTCCTTTAAAATCGATAAAAAAATCCAAGCATTTTGGTCTCACTACGACCTTTAAAAAATCCACGCCAATTGGTCTCATGAAGTTCTTTAAAAAATCCTTAGAAATCAACGTCCATTGGTTTCACTAAGTCCTTTAAAAAATCTTTATTTTATCTCTATATTTTTTGATGAGGCCCTCTTCAATTTAGTTCCGCGAAGTTCTTTAAAAATCTCCAAATATGGACCTCAAAAAATCTTTAAAACTCCCCTGAAAACCTACCCTTTTAAGGAATTATGTTTATGGACCCTGTGTCGTATACGTATCGACACCACTTATACGCCCTACTGGCCTTTGAGAATTAATTTCATTTCTTCCTAATTTCATGTTGTTGCTTTACTGTTGTTACCATTTATCGGATTTGGAAACATTTACGGAGCAAGACCTACAGAAGGACGATGATGTAGCTAGCTTTACAAAACGTGTCGAGCATTACATCCTGTCACATTTTCTTATTGTTGTTGTTAACAACATTATTAGGTGACCCTTTTTGAGGGTAGGGTCGGAGAAGGGGAAAACTTACCTGAAATCTCAACATCAGGAACATGACAACAAATACCAAAAACAAACATAAGCCGATTATGGGAAAGCTGACAAGATAACGAAAGGCACGACGCTTCCAGGCGGGTGCCTCCTTGGGCTCCAAACGGCCGGTTACATTGTTCTCAACAAGAGGACCCTGGTGAAGGGAGAGATACAAAAATTAAAAGAGAGAGGAGGGAGAAATTATTTGTTGAGAGTGAAAAATATGGGGTCACATTTTTTCCTAAATTTCCCTACCTTGTAAAGCGGTCTCGGTGGTTCCAAAAGTTCCGGTGGTGTCGATAAAGTTCCCCAGCGAAAAGCCAACTCCACAGAATATCTCTTCCAGGCCTCCAAATACAATGAGGCCCATGCCACATTGAAGAGCGAAAATAGCACATGGCCCATATCCTGAGCCATTTGATTTTTACCCCACAAAAAGGCATAGAGGATGGTGCCGAATACCGCCGGCACACCCAGAGCACAGGTGTAGTGGCCCAGCCAGGAAAAATATAAGGCCACCTTGACACCAAAATATTCAGCAATGTCATCTAGAAAGAAAACAAAATAAAAAACGAAATTGTATTTCCCCACCCTGGAAAAATCCCCCTCCCTTTATCCTCACCCAATGGCTGGGGCGCCAGCACCTGTTTGACCCAACTTTTTTGCAGTGAGGCCAAACTTTTCGTCTCATGCAGCGGGAAAATTTGCATTATCAGCCCCGTCTCTTGCCAGGCGGCCACAATGCTTTGACCCTCCTCAACAGCGGCACGACCC